TTCAAAAGAATCCCTGTGACTACAAGGGGCACACACACACGTTGACATAATTAGCCTCCAATTGCACTGTTTTCCTTTTTGTCTCCCCCTCATCCTCTGGCAAAAGATGGTAGTGCGCCTGGCGGCAAAGCTGGAAGAAGTTTCCAAAGAATCGGACGTGTGGAGATTCAGCCAACACCCCACCCTTGTTCATGAGCTGAAATGAGTCAAGTTCTAGTCCAGAATCTGGTGTGCATGCCAGGCTTCACCTCATCCCAACCAAACCAGCTGTGCTCCTTCCCCTGGAGCGGTTGAGGATGGAAATGAAACTGCATTCATCACAAGTGAAACCAACTTACCTGCAGCATCTGTAACAACATCAGCATTTTGATGTACATAGGATCCACCCCGCATTCCCTGCCTGCACACGCTGCACCTCCTCCACGACACTGGTGTCCAAGTTAAAAGCCTCCGCCACGATAGCGGAATCCACACCCTTCTGCAGCAATTCATTGATTTGCGTGGACATCCTAGCGCCAACAAAAGAGGTGCAAAGTGGGAACTGAGTGGGAACATATGGGTCGGATGCCTGACCTCCCGACATCAACATGTCGAGGCTTTCAGCCATACATCATACACACACGCACCATCGCAAAACATTGTATACATGCATGTACACACCCAGCACAAAAGTTGGTAACACGTTTGTGAATACATAACCAACAACAACCGTTTCCCCTTAGATTCCTACGGGGGATCACAATGCCGGCGGATATGTTTCCACCCCGAGGTAAATTTATAGTATTCAGGGGATCACATTGGAGTGCCGGCGGACTAGCTTCCACCCCGAAGTCAATTTATAGTACTCAGGGGGTCACATTGGAACGCCGGCGGGTCAGTTTCCACCCCGAAGAAAAAATTTATAGTATGCAGGGGCTCACACTGGAACGCCGGCGGATTAGTTTCCACCCCGAGGGAAACTTGCGGCGCGCAGGGGATCACATTGAAACGCCGGCGGATTAGTTTGCACCCCGAGGGAAATTTATTCAGAGGAACACATTGGAACGCCTTCGGATTAGTTTCCACCCCCAAGTACCAGACCTTCTTCCTCCGGAAGTATGTATGTATGTAACTATACGTACGTGAGTAAGGGAGTAAGTGAGTAAAACAGTCAGTCAGTCAGTCAGTAAGTAGGTAAGTAAGTAGGTAGGTAAGTAAGTAAGTAAGTAAGGAAGGAAGTAAGTGAGTAAGTAAGTAAGTAAGGAAGCAAGTACGCAAGGAAGCAAGCAAGGAAGCACGTAAGTAGGTATGTAGGTATGTAGTTATGTCAGTAAGTAAGTCAGTAAGTAGGTAAGTCAGTCAAACAGTCAGTCAGTCAGTCAGTAGGTAAGTAAGTAAGCATGTATGTACGCACGCATGTGAGTATGTTTGTATGTATGTGTGCGTGTATGTGTATGTGTATGTGTGTATGTAAGCGTTTGTATGAAAGTTTCGTGTAAGCAAGTAGGTAAAGTAAGTAAAATAAAGTAAAGTAAAGTAAGGTAAAGAAAGTTAGTGAGTCAGTCAGTCAGTCAGTCAGTAAGCTTTAGAAAGTTAAAGAAAGTAAGTACAAAAAGTAAAGCAAGTGCAGCAAGTATACCAAGTAGAGCAAGTAAAGTATGACAGGTAGGTAAAGTATGAAAAAGTAAAAGTACAGTGACTCAAAGTAAGTAAGAAAGTGAATCAATGAGTGAGTGAGTGAGTGAGTGAATGAGTGAGTGAGCGAGTGAGTGAGTGAGTGAGTGAATAGTAAGTAAGTAAGTAAGTAGGTAAGTAAGTAGGCCAGGTAAGTAAGTAGGTAAGTAGGTAAGTAAGTAAGTAAGTAGGTAAGTAGGTAAGTAAGTAGGTAAGTAAGTAAGTAAGCAAGGAAGGAAGTAAGGAAGTAAGTAAGTAAGTAAGCAAGCAAGCAAGAAGCGAGTCAGCGAGTAAGTGAGGAAGCAAGCCCCAAGTGTGTGTGTATGTATGTAAGTATGCATGCATGTATGTATAGGTGTTTGTTTGTTTGTTTGTACGTATGCATGGTTATATTTTCGCTATTGTCCGTATGCATGCGTGTACGTGTGTATGTCTGTATTTGCTCAATTCGACTTTCTCCTGCCGAGTCAAAGGTTCAGAAGGTCAGCTTTCTCTGACTGTGACCAGACATGGCGCACACCTGGCCTGCTTAGGTTCGCGTGAGTAACGAAGCAAGATCTCATTGGTGTCCTTTTGGAGCGCCAAAAAACAATTCAGTCTAATGGCGTTTTAAGGAACGCTGCTCCACGTCTCCAGGATCTTGATATTGGGCGCGCGTCGAAGACGTGGCGGCCAAGACCGAGCCCCCGCAACAATGGCCGGCGCCGCTGCGCAAACGGGAGCGCAGTTGCGGTCAGCTTCACCTGCGCAGGGTCCGCTCGGCGTGACTTGAACCACCCGTTTCCTTCTCGCGCATGTTGAATCAACTCCAAGTCACGAAGGACAAACTGGAAAGGAAGCAGGTCTTGAGCTGGTTGATGGTAAGACCTGCCTGCTTGAGGATGGCCTCCAGACAGCGTTTTTTCTTTGCTGCACAAGTACTATGCGAAAGACGCATTCAGCGTTCTCCGTGAGGGCTGGGCTGGGTTGGCGCAGCGTGCCGGCCAGGTTGGCAAAACAGAAGTGGTGGTTAGGGGCCCCACCATGAGCCAGCGTGACTGCGGCTTCTGCTCCAATCTTCTGTCTGCGCTGCCCCTAACCCCGAGACACACAACACATGAAGAGAATGGTTTCAAACAAACTGTCCTTGTCGGGCTCACACAACATCAAGGGTTGATTATAAATTCTGCTAGGCGAAACCGCGCAAGCACATACATAGCACTTCGGAAAGCGCAACGTTGCAGGATTTGCTGCCTGTCATGGATTTCCACGTGCTATAACGTAGCAAAACGCTATAACGTAGCAAAACTTGTTGTTTATGAATGACCATGAATCTCACACCACGCGCAAAAACAAGGCTTCATGTCAACAAGCGAAATAAAAACATGCACGAAAGAGCTGAAAGTCACCCTGTATGTCCTGATATAGGCGGCGCTGGTGTCCTTGAACTGCTTTTGGCTCTGGATGATTTTCTCCTGCACCGTCTTCAGCTCCTCCAACATGGTCTGGTAGGCCCGCTTTTTTGGTCCAGTTTTGCCTGTAACGGTAACGCTTGGGGGACAAAGACTTCAGCTCTCCAACTTCTTTTTGTTACTGGATAGCCGGGTAGCCCCTATTTTTCGGTTCTCCACCAGAGCTTTGACTGGTCCTGGTAGACTGGCCAACCAAGAGATCCGCTAGGTGGGTTCCCCAACTGTGGATTGAGGTCAGCGCCAATACCCTGCGCACCTTCTATAGAGGGCCCCGGCATCAAGAGATGCCAGACTGCCAGCTAAGGCTTCAATGGCCTCCCTCTGAACCTTTTCGATTGACTTCTCTGTCCAGGTGTTGTCATGTCCCACTTCGATTGCTTTGCCTTCGTTGCTGGGTCGACCTCTCCACAACTGGAAAAGGGTTTGAGACAACCCCTCCAAGTCCAGCTTCGACAACCTGCAGAGCTGCAGGGAAGAAAGCTGCAGCAAAAGGTCATGATCCCAAAGTGACTGGTCCTGGCTGTCAAGCCAAGCGGGATGATGGGCACAGTTTGGGAGGTAGATGTCAAAGTTTCCAAGGCTCAAGGTGAAGATGAAGCAAAGAAAGCTAAGTCGTGTTCTGACCCCCAGGCCAGTCCCAGCCCAAGGCAAGGCCACCGCCGAGGAGCTTGACGGGCAAAGAATGTGCTGTACCTGTGGAACGCCCTCCCTGCTCAAGTAGTCGAGGCAATGCTCGAAAGGGGGTTGCCGCACCAGCCAGTCTTTGGGACCGCTGGCTTGAGCACTCTTGCCCTTGAGCCATATATGATATATGCATGCCTGCAATAATATGCGTATGCGTATGCGTATGCATATGCGTATGGTATGGTACATAATGTATGTAATGTATGCAACGTAATGTATGTATATCCGCCGACCCCTTGCGACTGCGAGGGGAGCGCGTGAGAGAAGGTACGAGGAATCTTCGAGTAGGGTTTGGCTGTGTGGTTGCGCGCGGAGCGGCTCCGGAGACGGGGGCTCTTGGGGGGAAGTCTCTGGAACGGTCGGGAGTATGCAACTTTTGGACGATTTGTCGGGGAACGGTGCGAATGCTTCACAGTTGTTTTTTAAGAGTCCGGGTGTTTGTCAGAGTGCGCTTTTTATGATCTTGAGATGATCTTGAGTAGTCAGAGTGCGCTTTTTTATGATCTATTGAGATGATCTTGAGTAGTGTGATTAGTATGTATCATGGCAAAGTTTTGGCTGAGACACGTGATAGCTGATAGCAAGTAAGTAGGACAAGAAACATGGCAGATGCAAGGGGGCAGGGCCTTGCAAGAGAACTAGGTGCTCCCAGGGCAACCCAGCTTTATATATATAAGAATTTTTGTTTTATGTAGATTTTTGTTTTGATTTTTTTTACTGTATACGTAATTGCGTTTCGATGACTTTATGTTGACTGCATTGAAATGATGTAAGGATGGTGCGCTCACCTTTGATGAAGCAATTTTGCAGGTCACCGGCAACAAACTGATAGGCCCAGAACCAAAACCATACAAAACCATGCGTGATGGAGGAAAAGTTGAAGTAGGTGATCTTCCACTCACCTTTGTCCACGCCAATGATGGAAAATTGGAACAGTTCTGTGACATCAGTCTGAATGAAAAGTGGGACAAAGAGGATGACTTCTTCGAAACCACCATCTTCAAGCACGTCATGGAGAATGAGTACAACAACCTTCCGCCTCCCTTTTGCTTGAAAGCAGCGCCTCCAGTCCCATTCCTCATGCAGATCATTGTAGTCCCAGTGTCATCCCCAGAGGAAGCAGAGGACCCAAACTCGAAGTATGTGCACATCGTGAAGCATGTTTACCTCCACAAGAACAAGTTACCTGCGCAGATGTGCTTAGATCTTTGTCAAGGTGTGTGTCACAAATTCCACTGGGGCAACCACTTCAGGACTGGGCAGATTGCCGTCAACTACATGTTTAATCTCATGGGTGGTTTCCAAATTCGCTTTTGGTCGATCCAGCCCAAGATGCAAAAGAAGAATACGGCAGATCATATGGCCAGGGAGGAGGCTTACAGGTTCACCCGGGAAAAGGGGCCGCGCAGCAACAACCGCAACCAGTTCATGGAATGGACTGGCGAGCAAATACATACACCCGGAAGCCCAATTGAAAATTGGCAGGAAGCTAAGGTGGTCACCGCCTTGCAAAACTACATGAGGGGGCGGCAAAATGCAAAGACCTTGGAGTATTGGCCTTTCACTTTGCGCGGTTTCAAACCTTGGTTCTTCAACGAGGTCTTGCTGCCGATGCTGGGCTCTGTCCGGCAGCACGCAATCACATGGATTGGGAAAACACGCACCGGCGAATCGCTCGGATCCAAGACCATACTCTTCGCGCAGAGCAAATTTGAGATCCAACAAGATGAACGTGCAGACTTAATCCTTTCCATCGTCACCGCGAAGCACCTCGATTTCTTCAAGGCAGAACCTCTGACGAAGTATAAGCCCGGTGTGTTCGATGACGGCCAGATGCAGAAGAATGACGCCACCTTCCTGAAGGCTTTCCTCAACCCCTCGGTATCTTGTCTGTGCCTGAAATGAATGTCTGCATATGGCATATGTGAAATATGTATAGGGTTTCTCTTGGTAGTGAAAGCAGCCTCAAGGTATGTACGAGATATACGTCTAGACAAAGTAAATGGACATAGTACACACTGATTTATTTCAACGTAGCATGTCCATATATAGTCTTCTGAAACATTGAACTCATATGCTTCAGGAGGAGGATGCCACTGTGTGGGCCAGGTATTCATCAGCTTACTTTGAACAGTCTGCGGGGCGACACGCGTGCAATAATCCCTACAATCAGAAGCACGAGGAGCAGGTCTTGAAAGAGATGAAGGACAAAGGATCAGCGGCTATCTCTTACAAGGACTTCATCGATATCATCAACCCCTCCTTTGCTGCAGTGGACAGCCCGGAAGACATGGATGCGATCATGACCCGTACACATGTGATCCTCATCACCGAGAATGGCATTTTTTGGAGAGTGGCAAGCACCCACAAGAAAGATGTATCCTTCATTGCCTGGCCACAGAGGGAAACGCCAGATATCTTGGTGCCGGACCAACTGCCCATCTTCAAGGAGTACAAGGCAAATCCAGGAAATCATCAGCTTCCTCCCGGTTTTCATGAAGACAGTGTATGGTCTCAAGAAGTACTTCGTCGACTCATCAGTGGAGAACAAGTTCCGAAGATTGTGACCATTCACAGGCATCAAGGTCTCTTTGGACAAGAAGTTCCTCCACAGCATGTGCCTCCGCAGGTGCTTTCACGCAATGTAAGGCAGCTTCGTGTCAAACAAGAAAAGGCAGAACACGTGTGGACAAACTTGAAGAAGCAAGGCAGAGTGCTGATAGACTTGGATTCGTCTCCTTCGCCTCCAAAGCGCCAGAGGACATTGGATCAAGCCATGCCTTCAAACCCACGAGAAAACCCTGAATTGCCAGGCTTGAGCAGTGGACCTCATGATGATGATGTCTTTATGCCTGCTGTTGGAGAATGCCCTGATGAGGACCTTACCTTGGAGCAAGCCTTGGAGGAAGAGATGGAGGAAGAGCTTTCCAGGCTTGGTGGGCATTCTGATGCTGATGCTTTCAAGGACGTGTGTGGAGTGCTTGTTCTGCAGTGGATTGGTCTTCCGATCTCATGTACTGGCAATGGCCCCTTCTCAGTCACTGACCTCAATGAGATGATCCGGCCCTTCCACATCCAGTTTGAGGTTTGCCATAATAAGCTTCCAGGAAGAGATGGTATGTATCTATGTCATCAGGGTAGCCACTTCACAGGTTTGAAGACATGCGAAGGCTTCTTCCAGCACTTCGACAACGGCATCACCAGCGCATGGACAATGGGGAAGGTGGCAAATTTCATGGAGCAGTCTGATGTCACTCTCTTTTGTTTGCGCAAGGGCAACCAGACGTCAATGCCCTCTCTGAGCGCTTACATTGGTGGATCAAGTGAATCCATATCTACTTTCACCTGTCCCCTTGAAAGATGTGCATGTCCTGGTTGCAGTGGAACATTGCTGACAAAAGACGAGGTGGACTCTGTCATCTACGGGCTGGCCGGTCCCCAAGAATGCATCCTCGTGACCAAGCAATGTTCTTCCCGCTCTTGTCGCACCGTCTACGGGTTCAACTACAGGTGGAAAGACGGTGCCAAAATCAATTGTGTCCAAATGGATGACTTGACAGAGGGTATCCTATTCATCTCGAGCAAAGTGGGCTTCACCACTGAGTATCTCAAGTACCATGAGGAACTTCTTTTCCGAGGTCAGGTTGCAACCCGCGCAACATCCTATGCCTACAATCAAGTCTTTGTAGAGGATATGGCACACGCGGAGGAGTGGTTCCGGCGCATCCATGAAACAGGTCTTTTCTATTTCATGTCTCTCCACGAGCTGCAAAAAATTGGTTTGCACAAAGACATTGAGATTGACCAGGAGGTGAGTGACCATGCCTTGGACGTCTACCACGCCTACTGCCATTCGAGCCTTTTTCCCCCAAAGCAAAAAAGAAGTGTGCAGGCCTTGGTCGGTGACGGACATGGGCAAATCAAAGTGAAATGCCAAGTGGGACCGCTCAAAAGGGTTGGCCGTCCTCGGAAGAACGCCGCCACAGTCGGAAAGCGCGGAAATGGTTGGTTTGCCATTTGTGACCCCAAAAGTCAGCGGATTCTTGCCCTCAACGTCATGCATGAGCCGGAAGGCAATGAGGTAGCCATCAACTCCTTCAAGGACATCTTGTGGTTGTATCCGCAGGTGGACACCATCATCTACGACCGCGCGTGTCACGTCCATGCAGCAGCCCAGCAAGACCCCCTCTTGGAACAGGTGAAGTACTTCATTGTGGATCGTTTTCATGCACTTCGACATGGCAAAAAGTGTCAATGCAATCCCCGTGCCTTGGAGACAATCCTGTCTGCTTTGTCTGTGCATAGCCAAATAGCAAAACTCAACGTAAATATGTTT